CTAGATTGAGTGCACTCAAGTCAATCATCAACGCAGATTGTATTTATTTAATTTCAAAAACAATGAAGTTATTATTTAACACTTAAATTTAAGCTTAATATTATTAAGTAATAGATCCTGTGTTTTCAAAATACAGGATCTATAGTGCTAATGGGATGGATCATGGAAAGGATGATTCCATAAATTTTTTGATATAGCAAAAGTAAAATGAATGACAAACGCTCAAAATCGCATGATGACAACCAAAAAACGAAAAAGATAAAGACACTTTAGAAGTACCACTAAATACGCGATCCACAATTGTTGTCTCGCCAATTGAAGAACGATATCGATCACCGTCATCGAGTTCACCACACACCCATTCGCCACGATACGGATCTAATCTAGGGGAACTTCATTACCCCATTATGGGTTATGAAGCATCTGATGATTCATATGTTGCTGATTATCTCGCATATTGTCCACCATATTTCTCTTCTGGTTTACCTTATCCTTATTATCCACCACCGTTTCCACACCCATATTATGGTGCTAATAATACTTACGATCAACGTACACGTTTACCGTCACCATATCGACAGTATACTCGTCATCGCTCACCATATCGACCATTGCCGAAAAAGGAAAGACAGCCATATCGCTCACCTTCACCACGTTCACCATATTATCGTCAACGATCTAATTCATCACAAATATCTCGAATGTCACTGACAATATCATTCATGGAACAACGCACAGCACGAGAACACACTCGACAACCACCGCGAAATAATCAGAACACGAGTACAGCATCATCAAATAGAGAAACGTCAAAACAAAGACAACCACCAACACCTCGGCAAGCATCATCAACTGATACTGATATGAAACTGTACGTCTCCGTGTTATCCGATTCAATGGCAGGACGTATACAAAATAATGCATGATGGAATAAATATTGTTTCATTAAATTGAAATCGATACCAGGCACAACTATATGCGAACAACCAGGTGGAAAATCACTGTCCGATTTTGTTCGTTCAAGGCACGGTGGACAAATTCTACGCAATATACCAGAATTATTAATAATAGCCGGTACAAATGACATTGCAATACGGACGATTAAAGAAGTAATTGATGGACTTCGTGCATTAGTAGCACTTATTCATCAATTATATCCAGGTATACAACGCATCATCGTCCACGAGATTATGTACCGGACCAAAACAAGTCAAAAACTATCGACAGTCAATGAAATGATCGATGCTATTAACACGTATAACGGCTATTTGACACAGTTGGCAATTGAAGAACGATTTGAGACAACCAAAACAGTATTAAATGAGAATGGTCTATTCGATGATTTGCATCCAAATGATAGAACAGGAATGCAAAAACTAATCAGCACGATTCGTCGAATGCTCAATCCCACAAGAACACAAACTTGCACTCTAGCTGCATTACCAGTAGGCTCGTCTAAAGCCACTGATAAAAACAACGCAGTAATGACGACTAACAAACAGACAACAATGGCAACCATATATACAAGAAAGTCACCGTCGCCACAACGATCACCTAGCATTAATATTCAACCAGCCACAGCATCTACTATGCACAGTAACACGACCAAAACGACGGTGGAAGAAGACGATGACATGAATGATAAACAAGACGATGGACAACGTCAAAATATAGATCGTCATTTTTATCAACAACTAATTGAACAAATAAAAAATTCATAGGTCGGTCTGTATCGTGACATGCCTGAATATTACCGACCAGCAATTAATGGCAATGAAGTTCACATCCCACTAGGCTATCATGCTTTAGTATTGATCGATTATTTTGGATGTAAATACCATAGTTGTCATTATTTGCTTACTAGCAATTACTATCGAATGTACACCGACCCAAAAACATTGCCGAAAGACATTAAAAACAAGTTACGTGAAACAAATGTTGATCTATCGAAATACATAGAAACATTGCACGAATGGCAACAGAATGCGTTAGAAAAATGCGGAAAAGCCGAAGCACATGCCAAACACATATTAGCTGAACTAATGCAATTATGGGCAAGTGATAAAGGCATTAATCCTGATGCTAGTATACTAAACCAGCAAGAATGGCAAATGGTTCAACATGAAATTGACAACTGGCAGGATGGACATGTTACTAAACTACTCTTGCATGTCCGTGAAACGGTTTTCAAAAGAGTTGAAACATCTAAAATGAAAGCGGACCGAAATACACTGATTACGCGACTAGATGCTCAACATTTTACAAAAGACGAACAAGAGCGAATCAATTTGTATATCAACTTGCATATAAAAATGCAAGAAGTGATAACAGAAGTTGAAAAACTCAAAGCACGAACAAGAATGAAAGCACCACCACCATCTTTAAAACGTCTCGATATATCAATGAAAACAAATCTACCACCAGACACTGCCGAGTTGACAACCATACAAAACGAATGGGATACAGCGATTCTGAGTGCTAAAACAACATTACAAAAATGTCTAATAGCACTCAAAAAGCTTGAACATACAAAAATAGATGAATAGATGAACAAAATGTGGAATGATGAAGAAATCATTTCTGAACACTGTCATGCCCTCGTCACCAAAATTGTTGTTTGTTGAGATTGATGAGAGATTAGCAACGTTTGATAGAAAAATTTCGATCCATTTTTTATTATCAAAACATCCAAGAGCCTAATGTCGAATGTTACCAGCACAGTATTGTTCGTCATGTTGTATGTATCCAAGTGTCTTAGAAAAGTTAAAGTATCTTACAAGGTATAATGCTTTATATGTGATTCAAAAATTGGCCTAAGTGTTTGGTCTAGAAAGTTTGAAATCGAGGCTATTGGTGATTTTATGCCCGCTACTATAGGCCTAAGAGGAACACCTGGTTTGTGGTCTTTAAGATTATAGTATAAGTGCGGTAGCTCACTGTCTTTCGGTCTCAGTTTTTCGTATAAAAATTGTGATATCCGTTTTTTCGCTAAAAGTTGTCTTAACAATGTATCTGTCTCAGTTATCATTTGTTGAATCGGCTTACCTTCCACTTCGATGTATGCATCTGTTTTTGTCATATATGCTACTGATTTTTCTGCGTAGCTTTTTGGTGTAGCAAGATATAACATCTTGGACTTGTCTGTTTGTCTAAAACTTACTTCGTGCTTTGTCAGACTTTTTATTAAGCTTTTGATAGCAATATTACAATTTTTAGACTTTGACAATTCAGATGTTATAAGTGAAAAAAGTGGTCCAAAAATACTGTATTCGTGTACTTTTCATATATGAAAAGTACGACCTAGGTGTCAGGCTCCGGGGATACAGGCACATATATATATAAAAAATCTTAGAATTAATTTTATATTAGGTTAGCATAAAATTTGGAGAAAGAAAATTCAGAAAAAAGAATTATTTTATTTCTGTTTTATGGCGCCACTGCCAGCGTGTTTTCTCGTCTAAACAAGAATATTGGAATTTTTGGCTCTTTGTTCACTCTGTTTGATTTATCTAACTTTAATAGAAATAATTTGTAGTGATCAATTTACTATTTCAACACTGAAGACTATCATACGAACGGGATCGAGTTTAACTGGTTCTATGCGCTAACCAACAGAAATTCAAAATGGCTGACATGCCTAAAATTAAGCAAAGAGCGCTTGTAAGAAGTTACCTGCAAATAACAGCTGCCAATAGCAGGTAACTTCAGCAGATGCAAAAAGCTAGCTGCCAAAAGAAAAAATGTGGAAGAGGTCAAGATGGCGACCGAAAAAGCAATTTTTTAATTGTAGTTATGTGCGCTATAAACTTTTAAACGAGATAAATTGTTTCTAATGTATATTTGATGGAAATAAAGCATATAGCGCTTTAAATAAGGATAATACAAGATGATGAAAGGCAGAGCGCCTTTCATCTATCGCTTGGTGTTCTTTTTATAAATAACCAATGAGAACGCATAATTTATTTTTTAAAAATGGATCGTTATAATACAGCAAACAAAAGAACTGTTATTCTGTGCTGTTGTATGTGAGCTGTTAGTTGTTTCCTGAAGTCTGTCTTTTACAGCAGAGATTATGAAAATGAATAAGAAACAGCGTGCCATTTCTAAGATGAATTTGCTCATGGGTTGTCTCATTTTACTATAGGTGTTGCAGGCGCGTAAACTAGCTTTTCAGCCCTGACAAAGAATATTTTTGTGAAGATCGTTGCTATTATATCAAAGAATTTCGTTTTATAATGAACATCAGTTCTGTGGTTTTAAGTCTCTAGTCAAGTGTTAAAGCAACAAAGTCTGCCTTAATGAAGGTTTCTGAAGCGTATGACATGGCGCTCAAGAAAGTCTCGATCACTGTCAGAAAAGTGAAGTGACTGAATGGCTAAATAAGACGGTTCAAATGACTGATTCAGTCGTTTTAGCAAAGATTTTTGTGGATGAAACGACTGACTCAGTCACATTAGGGAAAATACGGTATA